GCACACGTACGTTTGCAAGCACACACGCACGCACACGCAAAAACAAACACGCACACACGCACACGCACGCACTCACACATACGTCCAGTCAGGCTAGAAGGGATTAACACCTTTCGTGGAAAGGGGATAAAATCCTCACTCATAATCCACCCCTCTCTTACCCCTTCTCTTACCCCCTCTCTTACCTGCCGTAATCTGCAGACAACACCACACCTCCTCTTAACCCCCATCCCACGCGCACACACGCACACACACGTTCTCTCTCTCTCTCTCTCTCTCTCTCTCTCTCTCTCTCTCTCTCTCTCTCTCTCTCTCTCTCTCTCTCTCTCTCTCTCTCTCTCTCTCTCTCTCTCTCTCTCTCTCTTCTCTCTCTCTCTCTCTCTCTCTCTCTCTCTCTCTCTCTCTGCTCTCTCTCTCTCTCTCTTGCTCTCTATCTCTCTTCTCTCTCTCTCTCTCTCTTGACAAGGGGCAAAATGGCAGGAGGACGCAACAGGGACACAGGAAACAGCCAGAGTGACCAAACGAAGGAAATGTTAACCCAAGTTCTGGAGGAATTCAGGAGGGAGATGCATGAAATGAGGATTACAATTAACAACCTGCAAAGTGAGCTGACATCAGCAAGGGAGGAGATCAAATCCCTCACAGAGAAAAATAAAGAGACCGAGCATCAGATTATCATCCAAAGGGAAGGTGGGAATGTTACATTGGAAGGAAATGCCTCTGTACCTGAAACATTTGCGGACATACTGAAAAAGAGCTCAGAAGCAATGGCCACAGTGAGGGAGGTAGCCATGCAAGCTGCTACCTCACAGGAAGCAGCAAGGTGCACCACTCAGCTGCTGGAGAGAAAAAGATCAGTGGTAGTTGTAGGCATCAAAGAACAGGAAGGATCCAACAGGCAAGAATGGAATAGCAAGGATAGAGAGGCAGTACATGGGCTACTGAAGGGGTTACAGATGGAAGGGGCTGAACAAAACATTGAGAAGGTTTTCAGGTTGGGCTGGTACAACAAGGACAGAAACCGACTTGTAAAGGTGGTGTTTACAAACGAAACCACGAAGGAGGATATTCTCGAAAGGAAGAGTCGTCTGCAGCATGTGGAGGGATACAAAAAAGTATTCCTGCAGAGGGACAGGACGAAGGAGGAGAGAGCCAGGGCAGCAGAGGCAAGGAGGAAGCGCAGGGAGAGAGGAGCAAACCAGGAAATCACAGCCCCCAACACAACAGTCCTAGAGACAAGAGGGGAACCCACGACCAGCATCCCAGCAACACCAGAGGGGAGGGCAACACCACCACCCCCCTCTGCATAGAAACCCTCCCTTCCCCTCACCCTACCTGCCCCCACCCAACCCTCCCTCCCCCCCCCACCCCATTCTGACCCTGTCACCCCTTCCCCATTCCCGTCATGTCCCCCCTCCCACCTTTCCCCCCCCCCTGTCTCCCCTCCCCCTTCATCCCATACCCTCCCTATCCCTCCTCCCCCCTCACCCCGTATCCTCCATGTCCCCCCTATCTCCTTAACCCACACCCTACCTGTCCCCCCTTCCCTTAAACCCCCACCCCCCACCCCAAAATCCTCTGAGACCCTGCAAACCACCTCACAGATCTTCTCACCCACGGAACAGCTTCCCACACCAGCAGAATGCTCGCCAAGAAAGGGACAAGAAAATGAACAGAAGAAAGTGAGCTTCAAGGCAATGTACACTAACATAGATGGGATTACAAATAAAACAAGTGAACTCGGAGAATGGGCACTAGAAGAAAACCCAGACATAATAGCACTCACAGAAACAAAGCTAACGAAAACTATAACAAATGCAGTGTTTCCACAGGGCTACTATGTAGTGAGGAAAGAGAGAGAAGGGAGAGGAGGAGGTGGTGTAGCTTTGCTACTAAGAGAAGGTTGGAGTTTCGAAGAGATGGTAATTCAGAACTGTGAAGGTTTCAGTGACTACATATCAGGCACCATAGCAACTGGAGGACAGAAAATTATAGTAGTAGTCATATATAACCCCCCACCGAATGACAGAAGACCCAGACAGGAATATGATAGAAACAACTTGGCCACCATCAATATAATAGAGAGAGCAGCTTCTGTGGCTAGCAGGAACGGATCCAGACTACTAATCATGGGAGACTTCAACCATGGGAAGATAGATTGGGGGAACAGAGACCCACATGGAGGCCCAGACACATGGAGAGCTAAGCTGCTGGATGTGGCAACAAGAAACTTTCTAAGTCAACACGTCAAGGGACCGACAAGAATGAGAGGAGGGGATGAACCAGCCTTGCTTGATCTGATATTTACCCTAAATGAGTCGGATATAAGGGAAGTTAAGTTGGAAGCCCCCTTGGGAATGAGTGATCATAGTGTATTGAGCTTTGAGTACCTGGTTGAGCTAGGAATTATCACCCCCAAAAAAGAACTGGGAAACAAAGGGCTGGCGTACCGAAAGGGAAACTATGAGGAGATGAATAAATTCCTATGGGATATACATTGGGACACAGAACTCGGAACCAAGTCCGTACAAGACATGATGGACTATGTCACCCAAAAATGTCAGGAGGCTGTAAGCAGGTTTGTCCCAGCCCGACAGGAAAAAACAGAGAAGCAAAGGAAGAATCCGTGGTTTAATAGGGAATGTATGAAAGCAAAGGAGCTGAACAAAAGGGCATGGAGGAACTTCCGTAATAACAGAACACCAGAAAGTAGAGAGAGATACCAGAGAACCAGGAACGAGTATGTTAGTGTGAGAAGAGCAGCTGAGAAAAGGTATGAAAATGATATAGCTAATAAAGCCAAGACCGAACCAAAGCTACTACACAGTCACATCAGGAGGAAGACAACAGTGAAGGAACAGGTGATGAAACTTAGGGTGGGCGAGGACAGGTACACAGAGAATGACAAAGAGGTGTGTGAAGAACTCAACAAAAGGTTCCAGGAGGTCTTTACAATAGAACAGGGAGAAGTCACGGCGCTAGGAGAGGTGGCAGCAAACCAGGTGACCTTGGAAAGGTTCGAAATTACAAGAGATGAGGTCAAGAAGCACCTATTGGAGCTGGATGTGAGAAAAGCTGTTGGGCCGGACGGAATCTCACCATGGGTATTGAAAGAGTGTGCAGGAGCACTTTGCTTGCCACTCTCCATAGTGTATAGTAGGTCACTGGAAACGGGAGACCTACCAGAAATATGGAAGACTGCTAATGTAGTACCAATATACAAAAAGGGTGACAGACAAGAGGCACTGAACTACAGGCCAGTGTCCTTAACTTGTATACCATGCAAGGTGATGGAGAAGATTGTGAGAAAAAACCTAGTAACACATCTGGAGAGAAGAGACTTCGTGACAACCCATCAACATGGGTTCAGGGAGGGTAAATCTTGCCTTACAGGCTTGATAGAATTCTACGATCAGGTGACAAAGATTAAGCAAGAAAGAGAAGGATGGGCGGACTGCATTTTTTTGGACTGTCGGAAAGCCTTTGACACAGTACCCCATAAAAGGTTGATGCATAAGCTGGAGAAACAGGCAGGAGTAACTGGTAGGGCGCTCCAGTGGATAAGGGAGTACCTAAGCAATAGGAAGCAGAGAGTTACAGTGAGGGGTGAGACCTCAGAATGGCGTGAAGTCACCAGTGGAGTCCCACAGGGCTCTGTGCTTGGACCTATCCTGTTTCTGATATACGTAAATGATCTCCCAGAGGGTATAGACTCATTCCTCTCAATGTTTGCTGACGACGCCAAAATTATGAGAAGGATTAAGACAGAGGAGGACAGCTTGAGGCTTCAAGAAGACCTGGACAAGCTGCAGGAATGGTCGAACAAATGGCTGTTAGAGTTTAACCCAAGCAAATGTAATGTAATGAAGATAGGGGTAGGAAGCAGGAGACCAGATACAAGGTATCATTTGGGAGATGAAATACTTCAAGAGTCAGAGAGAGAGAAAGACCTGGGGGTTGATATCACGCCAGACCTGTCCCCTGAAGCTCATATCAAGAGGATAACATCAGCAGCATATGCCAGGTTGGCTAACATAAGAACGGCCTTTAGAAACTTGTGTAAGGAATCTTTCAGAACATTATATACCACATATGTCAGACCAATCCTGGAGTATGCGGCTCCAGCATGGAGTCCATATCTAGTCAAGCATAAGACTAAACTGGAAAAGGTTCAAAGGTTTGCCACCAGACTAGTACCCGAGCTGAGAGGTATGAGCTACGAGGAGAGACTACGGGAATTAAACCTCACTTCGTTGGAAGACAGAAGAGTTAGGGGGACATGATCACCACATTCAAGATTCTCAAGGGAATCGACAGGGTTGATAAAGACAGGCTATTTAACACAAGGGGCACACGCACTAGGGGACACAGGTGGAAACTGAGTGCCCAAATGAGCCACAGAGATATTAGAAAGAACTTTTTTAGTGTCAGAGTGGTTGACAAATGGAATGCATTAGGAAGTAATGTGGTGGAGGCTGACTCCATACACAGTTTCAAGTGTAGATATGATAGAGCCCAATAGGCTCAGGAACCTGTACACCTGTTGATTGACGGTTGAGAGGCGGGACCAAAGAGCCAGAGCTCAACCCCCGCAAGCACAACTAGGTGAGTACAGCTGCGGGAAATGCACCTCACGTCACTGGAAGACAGAAGAGTAAGGGGAGACATGATCACCACCTACAAAATTCTCAGAGGAATTGACAGGGTAGATAAGGATAAACTATTTAACACTGGTGGGACGCGAACAAGGGGACACAGGTGGAAACTGAGTACCCACATGAGCCACAGGGACGTTAGAAAGAACTTTTTCAGTGTCAGAGTAGTTAACAAATGGAATGCATTAGGCAGTGATGTGGTGGAGGCTGACTCCATACACAGTTTCAAATGTAGATATGATAGAGCCCAGTAGGCTCAGGAATCTGTACACCAGTTGATTGACAGTTGAGAGGCGGGACCAAAGAGCCAAAGCTCAACCCCCGCAAGCACAACTAGGTGAGTACAGGGTTGAGAGCACTGGGGCCTGAGCATTGGGGTGTCTGAGCATGTGGGTCTGAGCACACTGGCTTGAGCAATGGGTGTCTGAGGCACTGGTGCCTGAGCACTGGGGTCTGAGCAATGGGGTCTGAGCATTGCGGCCTGAGACCTGGTGCCTGAACACTTGGGACTCAGCACTGGAGCCTGAGCACTGGTGCCTGAGCACTGGGGTTTGAGCACTGAGGTCTCAGCACAGGGGCCTGAGCACTGGGGCCTGAGCACTTGGGTCTGATCACTGGTCCCTGAGCACTAGGGTCTGAGCACTTGGGTCTGATCACTGGTCCCTGAGCACTAGGGTCTGAGCACTGGAGCCTGAACACTGGTGCTTGAGCACTGGGAACTGAGCACTGGGGCCTGAACACTGGGGCCTGAGCACTGGGGTCTGAGTACTGTGGCATGAGCACTAGGGCCTGAGCACTGGGGCTTTAGCACTGGGGTCTGAGCACTGGGGCCTGAGCACTGGTGCCTGAGCACTGGGGTCTGAGCACTGGAGCCTAAACACTGATGCTTGAGCACTGCGGACTGAGCACGGGAACCTGAGCACTGTGGTCTAACGGGGCCTTCGTAGCCTGGTGGATAGCGCGCAGGATTCGTAATTCAGCGAGGCGTGGGGTTCGATTCCCGCACGAGGCAGAAACAAATGGGCAAAGTTTCTTTAAACCTAAGTGCCCCTGTTACCTAGCCAGTAAATAGGTACCTGGGAGTTAGTCAGCTGTCACGGACTGCTTCCTGGGGTGTGTGTGTGTGGTGTGGGAAAAAAGAAGAAAGAAAAAAAAAAGTAGTTAGTAAACAGTTGATTGACAGTTGAGAGGCGGGCCGAAAGAGCAGAGCTCAACCCCCGCAAAAACACAACTAGTAAACACTGATGCCTGAGCACTGGGGTCTGATCACTGGTGCCTGAACACTGGGGTCTGAGAACTGGGGGCTGAGCACTGGTGCCTGAACACTGGGGCCTGAGCACTGGGGTCTGAGCACTGGGGTCTGGGCACTGGGGCCTGAGCACTGGTGCTTGAGCACTGGGGCCTCAGCACTGGGGTCTGAGCACTGCGGCCTGAGCACTGTGGCCTGAGCACTGGGGACTGAGCACTCGGGCCTGAGCACTGGTGTTTGAGCACTGGGACCTGAGCACTGGGGCCTGAACAATGGTGCTTGAGCCCTGGAGACTGAGCACTGGGGCCTGAGCACTGGGGCCTGAGCACTAGGGTCTGAGCACTGGGGTCTGAGCACTAGGGCCTGATCATTGGGGCCGGAGCACTGGGGTCTGAGCACTACTGCCTGAGCACTGGGGTCTGAGCACTGGGGCATGAGCACTGGGGCCTGAGCAATGGGGTCTGAGCACTGTGTCCTGAGCACTGGGGTCTGAGCACTGGTGCCTGATCATTGGGGCCTGAGCATTGTGGTCTGAGCACTGGGGTCTGATCACTTGGGACTGATCACTAGGGTCTGGGAACTGGGGCTTGAACACTGGGGTCTGAGCACTGGGGACTGAGCACTGGGGCCTGAGTACTGGGATCTGGGCACTGGGGCCTGAGCACTGGGGTCTGAGCACTGGGGTCTGAGCACTGGGGCCTGAGTACTGGGTTCGGAGCACTAGGGCCTGAGCACTGGGGCTTGAGCACTGGGGTCTGAGCACTGTGGCCTGAGCTCTATGTTCTGAGCACTGGGGTCTGAGGAATGGGTCTTGAGCACTGGGGTCTGAGCACTGATGCCTGACCATTGAGGACTGAGTATTGGGGTCTGAGCACTTGGGACTGAGCACTGGGGGCTGAGCAATGGGGTCTTGACACTGGGGCTTGAGCATTGGGGGTCTGAGCACTGGGGTCTGAGCAATGGGGCCTGACCATTGGGTTCTGAGCACTGGAGACTGAGCACTGGGGCCTGAGCACTAGTGACTGAGAACTGGGGTCTGAGCACTAGGTCCTGAGCACTGGGGCCTGATCACTGGTGGCTGAGGACTGGGGGTCTGAGCACTGGGGCCTGAGCACTGGTGCCTGAACACTGGGGTCTGAGCACTGGGGCCAAAGCACTTGGGCCTGAGCACTGGCACCTGAGCACTGGCACCTGAGCACTGGGGGTCTGAGCACTGGGGTCTGAGCACTGGGGCCTGAGAATTGGGGTCTGAGCACTGTGGCCTGAGCACTGGGGTCTGAGCACTGCGGCCCGAGAACTGGGGCCTGAATACTGGGGACTGAGCACTGGAGCCTTAGCACTGGTGCCTGAGCACTGGGGTCTGAGCACTGGGGCCTGAGAATTGGGGTCTGAGCACTGTGGCCTGAGCACTGGGGTCTGAGCACTGCGGCCCGAGAACTGGGGCCTGAATACTGGGGACTGAGCACTGGAGCCTTAGCACTGGTGCCTGAGCACTGGGGTCTGAGCACTGGGGCCTGAGCAATGGGGTCTGAGCACTGTGGCCTGAGCACTGGGGTCTGAGCACTGGTGCCTGATCATTGGGGCCTGAGCATTTGGGTCTGAGCACTGGGGTCTGATCACTTGGGACTGATCACTAGGGTCTGGGAACTGGGGCTTGAACACTGGGGTCTGAGCACTGGGGACTGAGCACTGGGGCCTGAGTACTGGGATCTGGGCACTGGGGCCTGAGCACTGGGGTCTGAGCACTGGGGTCTGAGCACTGGGGCCTGAGTACTGGGTTCGGAGCACTAGGGCCTGAGCACTGGGGCTTGAGCACTGGGGTCTGAGCACTGTGGCCTGAGCTCTATGTTCTGAGCACTGGGGTCTGAGGAATGGGACTTGAGCACTGGGGTCTGAGCACTGATGCCTGACCATTGAGGACTGAGTATTGGGGTCTGAGCACTTGGGACTGAGCACTGGGGGCTGAGCAATGGGGTCTTGACACTGGGGCTTGAGCACTGGGGGTCTGAGCACTGGGGTCTGAACAATGGGGCCTGAGCATTGGGGTCTGAGCACTGGAGACTGAGCACTGGGGCCTGAGCACTAGTGACTGAGAACTGGGGTCTGAGCAGTAGTTCCTGAGCACTGGGGCCTGATCACTGGTGGCTGAGGACTGGGGTCTGAGCACTGGGGCCTGAGCACTGGTGCCTGAACACTGGGGTCTGAGCACTGGGGCCAAAGCACTTGGGCCTGAGCACTGGCACCTGAGCACTGGCACCTGAGCACTGGGGGTCTGAGCACTGGGGTCTGAGCACTGGGGTCTGAGCACTGTGGCCTGAGCACTGGGGTCTGAGCACTGCGGCCCGAGAACTGGGGCCTGAATACTGGGGACTGAGCACTGGAGCCTTAGCACTGGTGCCTGAGCACTGGGGTCTGAGCACTGGGGCCTGAGAATTGGGGTCTGAGCACTGTGGCCTGAGCACTGGGGTCTGAGCACTGCGGCCCGAGAACTGGGGCCTGAATACTGGGGACTGAGCACTGGAGCCTTAGCACTGGTGCCTGAGCACTGGGGTCTGAGCACTGGGGCCTGAGCAATGGGGTCTGAGCACTGTGGCCTGAGCACTGGGGTCTGAGCACTGGTGCCTGATCATTGGGGCCAGAGCATTGTGGTCCTGAGCACTGGGGTCCTGATCACTTGGGACTGATCACTAGGGTCTGGGAACTGGGGCTTGAACACTGGGGGTCTGAGCACTGGGGACTGAGCACTGGGGCCTGAGTACTTTGATCTGGGCACTGGGGCCTGAGCACTGGGGTCTGAGCACTGGGGTCTGAGCACTGGGGCCTGAGTACTGGGTTCGGAGCACTAGGGCCTGAGCACTGGGGCTTGAGCACTGGGGTCTGAGCACTGTGGCCTGAGCTCAATGTTCTGAGCACTGGGGTCTGAGCAATTGGACTTGAGCACTGGGGTCTGAGCACTGAGGCCTGACCATTGAGGACTGAGTATTGGGTCTGAGCCTGGGGCACTTGGGGCACTTGAGCACTGGGGGCTGAGCAATGGTGTCTTGACACTGGGGCTTGAGGCACTGGGGGTCTGAGCACTGGGGGTCTGAGCAATGGGGCCTGAGCATTGGGTTCTGAGCACTGGAGACTGAGCACTGGGGCCTGAGCACTAGTGACTGAGAACTGGGGTCTGAGCAGTAGTTCCTGAGCACTGGGGCCTGATCACTGGTGGCTGAGGACTGGGGTCTGAGCACTGGGGCCTGAGCACTGGTGCCTGAACACTGGGGTCTGAGCACTGGGGCCAAAGCACTTGGGCCTGAGCACTGGCACCTGAGCACTGGCACCTGAGCACTGGGGGTCTGAGCACTGGGGTCTGAGCACTGGGGCCTGAGAATTGGGGTCTGAGCACTGTGGCCTGAGCACTGGGGTCTGAGCACTGCGGCCCGAGAACTGGGGCCTGAACACTGGGGACTGAGCACTGGAGCCTTAGCACTGGTGCCTGAGCACTGGGGTCTGAGCACTAGGGTCACAGCACAGGGGCCTGAGCACTGGGGCCTGAGCGCTTGGGCCTGAGCACTGGTGCCCTAGTGCCTGAGCACTGGGGTCTGAGCACTGGTGCCTGATCATTGGGGCCTGAGCATTTGGGTCTGAGCACTGGGGTCTGAGCACTTGGGACTGAGCACTGGGGACTGAGCACTGGGGTCTGGGCACTGGGGCTTGAGCACAGGGGTCTGAGCAGTGGGGCCTGAGTACTGGGTTCGGAGCACTAGGGCCTGAGCACTGGGGCTTGAGCACTGGGTTCTGAGCACTGTGGCCTGAGCTCTGGGTTCTGAGCACTGGGGTCTGAGCAATGGGACTTGAGCACTGGGATCTGAGCACTGATGCCTGACCATTGGGGACTGAGTATTGGGGTCTGAGCACTGGGGTCTGAGCACTCGGGACTGACCACTGGGACCTGAGCACTGGGGCCTGAGTACTGGGGTCTGAGCACTGGGGCCTGAGCATTGGGTTCTGAGCACTGGGGACTGAGCACTGTGGCATGAGCACTAGTGCCTGAGAAGTGGGGTCTGAGCACTAGGTCCTGAGCACTGGGGCCTGATCACTGGGGTCTGATCACTGGTGCCTGATTACTGGGGTCAGAGCACTGGGGCCTGAGCACCTGGTCCTGAGCACTGGCACCTGAGCACTGGAGTCTGAGCACTGGGGCCTGAGCACTGGTGCCTGAGCACTGGGACCAGAGCACTGGTGCCTGAGCACTGGGGTCTGAGCACTGGGGCCTGAGCAATGGGCGTGAGCACTGGGCTCTGCGGACTGGGGCCTGAGCACTGGGGCCTGAGCACTGGAGTCTGAGCACTGGTGCCTGAGCATTGGGGCCTGAGCATTAGGGTCTGAGCTCTGGGGACTGAGCACTGGTGCCTGAGAACTGGGGTCTGAGCAATGGGGTCTGAGAACTGGTGCCTGAGCACTGGGGCCTGAGCATTGGGGCCTGAGCACTGGGTTCTGTGCACCGGGGCCTGAACACTGGGGTCTGAGCACTGGGGCCTGAGCACTGGGGTCTGAGCACTGCGGCCTAAGAACTGGGGCCTGAACACGGGGGACTGAGCACTGGAGCCTTAGCACTGGTGCCTGAGCACTGGGGTCTGAGCACTGGGGTCACAGCACAGGGGCATGAGCACTTGGTTCTGATCACTGGGGTCTGAGCACTGGAGCCGGAACACTGATGGTGCTTGAGCACTGGGGACTGAGCACTGGGGCCTGAGCACTGGGGTCTGAGTATTGTGGCATGAGCACTGGGGCCTTAGCACTGGGGTCTGAGCACTGGGGCCTGAGCACTGGTGCCTGAGCACTGGTGTCTGAGCACTGCGGCCTGAGCACTTGGGCCTGATCATTGGGGTCTGAGCATTGGAGCCTGAACACTGGTGCTTGAACACTGGGGCCTGAGCCCTGGTGCCTGAGCACTGGGGTCTGAGCACTGGGGCCCTGGTGCCTGAGCACTGTCTGAGCACTAAGGGGCCTCGTAGCCTGGTGGATAGCGCGCAGGACTCGTAATTCTGTGGCGCGGGTTCGATTCCCGCACGAGGCAGAAACAAATGGGCAAAGTTTCTTTCACCCTAAGTGCCCCTGTTACCTAGCAGTAAATAGGTACCTGGGAGTTAGTCAGCTGTCACGGGCTGCTTCCTGGGGTGTGTGTGTGTGAGTGGTGTGTGGGAAAAAAAAAAAAAAAAAAAAAAAAAAAATAGTAGTAAACAGTTGATTGACAGTTGAGAGGCGGGCCGAAAGAGCAGAGCTCAACCCCCGCAAAAACACAACTAGTAAACACTGATGCCTGAGCACTGGGGTCTGATCACTGGTGCCTGAACACTGGGGTCTGAGAACTGGGGGCTGAGCACTGGGGTCTGAGAACTGGGGGCTGAGCACTGGTGCCTGAACACTGGGGTCTGATCACTGGTGCCTGAACACTGGGGTCTGAGAACTGGGGGCTGAGCACTGGTGCCTGAACACTGGGGCCTGAGCACTGGGGCCTGAGCACTGGGGTCTGAGCACTGGGGCCTGAACACTTGGGTCTGAGCACTGGGGCCTGAGCACTGGTGCTTGAGCACTGGGGCCTCAGCACTGGGGCCTGAGCACTGCGGCCTGAGCACTGTGGCCTGAGCACTGGGGACTGAGCACTAGGGCCTGAGCACTGGGACTTGAGCACTGGGACCTGTGCACTGGGGCCTGAGCACTGGAGACTGAGCACTGGGGCCTGAGCACTGGGGCCTGAGCACTAGTGCTTGACCACTGCGGACTTAGCACTGGGGCGTGAGCACTATGGTCTGAGCACTGGGGTCTGAGCACTAGGGCCTGAGCACTGGGGCCGGAGCACTGGGGTCTGAGCACTGGGGCCTGAGTACTGGGGTCTGAGCACTGGGGCATGAACACTGGGGCCTGACCACTGGGGTCTGAGCACTGGTGCCCTAGTGCCTGAGCAATGAGATCTGAGCACTGGTGCCTGAGCATTGGGGCCTGAGCATTGGGGTCTGAGTACTGGGGTCTGAGCACTTGAGACTGAGCACTGGGGACTGAGCACTGGGGTCTGAGCACTGGGGTCTGAGTACTGGGGTCTGAGCACTGGGAACAGAGCACTGGGGCCTGAGTACTGGGATCAGGGCACTGGGGACTGAGCACTGGGGTCTGAGCACTGGGGCCTGAGTACTGGGTTCTGAGCACTGGGGCCTGAGCACTGGGGCTTGAGCACTGCGGTCTGAGCAGTGTGGCCTGAGCTCTGAGCACTGGGGTCTGAGCAACGGGATTTGAGCACTGGGGTCTGAGCACTGATGCCTGACCATTGGTGACTGAGTATTGGTGTCTGAGCACTGGGGTCTGAGCACTTGGGACTGAGCACTGGGGCCTGAGCACTGGGGTCTTGACACTGGGGCTTGAGCACTGGGGTCTGAGCACTGGGGCCTGAGGATTGGGTTCTGAGCACTGGAGACTGAGCACTGGGGCCTGAGCACTAGAGCCTGAGAACTGGGGTCTGAGCACTAGGGCCTGAGCACTGGGGCCTGATCACTGGGGTCTGATCACTGGTGCCTGAGGACTGGGGTCTGAGCACTGGGGCCTGAGCACTGGTGCCTGAGCACAGGGGTCTGAGCACTGGGGCCTAAGCACTTGGGCCTGAGCACTGGCACCTGAGCACTGGGGTCTAAGCACTGGGGCCTGAGCACTGTTGCCTGAGCACTGGGGGCAGAGCACTGGTGGCTGAGCACTGGGGCCTGAGCAATGGGGTCTGAGCACTGGGGCCTGAGCACTGGGTCCTGAGCACTGGGGTCTGAGCACTGGGGCTTGAGCACTGGGGTGTGAGCACTGGTTCCTTAGTGCCTGAGCACTGAGTTCTGAGCACTGTGGTCTGAGCACTGGGGCCTGAGCATTAGGGTCTGAGCACTGGGGACTGAGTACTGCGGCTTGAGTACTGGGGTCTGGGCACTGGGGCCTGAGCACTGGGGTTTGAGCACTGTGGCTTGAGCACTGAGGTCTGAGCATTGTTGCCTGAGCACTGGGTTCTGAACACTGGGGTCTGAGCACTGGGGTCTGAGCACTGGGGTCTGAGCACTGGGAACAGAGCACTGGGGCCTGAGTACTGGGATCAGGGCACTGGGGACTGAGCACTGGGTCTGAGCACTGGGGCCTGAGTACTGGGTTCTGAGCACTGGGGCCTAAGCACTGGGGCTTGAGCACTGCGGTCTGAGCAGTGTGGCCTGAGCTCTGAGCACTGGGGTCTGAGCAATGAGATTTGAGCACTGGGGTCTGAGCACTGATGCCTGACCATTGGTGACTGAGTATTGGTGTTTGAGCACTGGGGTCTGAGCACTTGGGACTGAGCACTGGGGCCTGAGCACTGGGGTCTTGACACTGGGGCTTGAGCACTGGGGTCTGAGCACTGGGGCCTAAGGATTGGGTTCTGAGCACTGGAGACTGAGCACTGGGGCCTGAGCACTAGAGCCTGAGAACTGGGGTCTGAGCACTAGGGCCTGAGCACTGGTGCCTGAGCACTGGGGTCTGAGCACTGGGGCCTGAGCACTAGAGCCTGAGAACTGGGGTCTGAGCACTAGGGTCTGATCACTGGTGTCTGAGGACTGGGGTCTGAGCACTGGGGCCTGAGCACTGGTGCCTGAGCACTGGGGTCTGAACACTGGGGCCTAAGCACTTGGCCTGAGCACTGGCACCTGAGCACTGGGGTCTAAGCACTGGGGCCTGAGCACTGTTGCCTGAGCACTGGGGCAGAGCACTGGTGGCTGAGCACTGGGGCCTGAGCAATGGGGTCTGAGCACTGGGGCCTGAGCACTGGGTCCTGAGCACTGGGGTCTGAGCACTGGGGGCTTGAGCACTGGGGTGTGAGCACTGGTTCCTTAGTGCCTGAGCACTGAGTCTGAGCACTGTGGTCTGAGCACTGGGGCCTGAGCATTAGGTTCTGAGCACTTGGGACTGAGTACTGGGGCTTGAGTACTGGGGTCTGGGCACTGGGGCCTGAGCACTGGGGTTTGAGCACTGTGGCTTGAGCACTGAGGTCTGAGCATTGGTGCCTGAGCACTGGGTTCTGAACACTGGGGTCTGAGCACTGGGGTTTGAGCACTGGGGTCTGAGCACTGGTGCCTGAGCACTGGTTCCTGAACTCTGGGGTATGAGCATTGGGGTCGGAGCACTGGGGTCTGAGCATTGGGGTCGGAGCACTGGAGTCTGAGCACTTGTGCCTGAGCACTGGGGTCTGAGCACTGGTGCCTGAACACTGGTACCTGAGCTCTGGGATATGAGCATTGGGTTCGGAGCACTGGGGTCTGAGCATTGGGGTTGGAGCACTGGGGTCTGAGCACTAGTGCCTGAGCACTGGGGTGTGAACACTGGAGTCTGGGCACTGGGGCCTGAGCATTTGGTTCTGAGCACTGACGTCTGAGCACTGGGATTTGAGCACTAGGGTCTGAGCGCTGGTGCCTGAGCTCTGGGGTCTGAGCTCTGGAGACTGAGCACTGGTGCCTGAGCACAGGGGTCTGAGCACTTGTGCCTGAGCACTGGGGCCTGAGCACTGGGGCCTGAGCACTAGATTCTGAGCACTGGTGCGTGAGCACTGGTGCCTAAGCACTGGGGTCTGAGCAATGGGATCTGAGCACTGGGGTCTGAGTACTGGTGCCTGAGCACTGGGGCCTGAGCACTGGGGCCTGAGCACTGGTGCCTAAGCACTGGGGCCTGAGCAATGGGGTCTGAGCACTGGGGCCTGAGCACTAAGGTCTGAGGATGGAGACCTGAGCACTCGGGCCTGAGCACTCGGGCCTGAGCATTGGGTTCTCAGCACTGGGGTCTGAGAATTGGGGTCTGAGCTCTGGGGCCTGAGCACTGGGGTCTGATCATTGGGGTGTGAGTACTAGGGTCTGAGTACTAGGGCCTGAGTATTGGGGCCTGAGCACTGGGGTCTTAGTACTGGGGACTGATCACTGAGGCCTGAGCACTAGGGTCTGAGTACTGGGGGCCTGAGCACTGGGGTCTGAGTCCTGGAGTCTGAGCACTGGGGCCTTAGCACTGGGGTCTGAGCACTAGGGTCCGAGCACTGGGAGCTCAGCACTGGGGCCTGAAATACTCGCCCAGTTGTACTCACCTAGTTCAGTTGGCGGGGGTTGAGTTCTGGCTCTTTTGTCACTACTCTCAACTGCCAATCAGTTGGTGTACAGATTTTGGAATCTACTGGGCTCTATCAAATCTATATATGAAAATGTATATGGAGTCAGCCTTCACCACACCACTGCTTAATGCATTCTATCTGTTAACTACTCTGACTGTTATGATCTCATCCTCCAGGGAAAACGAGTCTCCCTTGAGAATTATTCTGCCAGGCCTGACCTAAATGAAAGGTTAAGGAGAGATAGATCAGGGGCCAGATTCACGAAAGCACTTACACAAGCACTTACGAACGTGTACATATTTCCTCAATCTTTGACGGCTTTGGTTACATTTATTAAACAGTTTACAAGCATGAAAATTTGCCAATCAACTGTTGTTATTGTTATAAACAGCCTCCTGGTGCTTCGGAGCTCATTAACTGTTTAATAATTGTAAACAAGCTGCCAAAGATTGAGAAAAGATGTACAGGTTCGTAAGTGCTTGCATGTGTTACCTATCGTTCGTTACGGCTCGTGACCCTACAGCAGCCAAGCTTTAATTACGTCTAGGGATACCACTGCTGCTCTCTAAAGCGGGTCACCAGTATAACCCCTTGATAAGTAATGAGCACATAAATAAAAATCTTCCTTTAGGACTGAAGAATAGATACAAAATATTATATAGATATATATTCAAGACAGTATAATATAAAACACAGATGGTAAAGTTAACTTATACAACAATTCAAAAGTATTGTCAT